GGGGCAGAGAGCAGTCTGCGCCCCGTGGCTGTGGCAGAGATGCAGGCGCGTGTCCACCTGCCTGCCCCACAGAGGGAGCAGGGCCAGCAGGTCCTCCCCAGGCTGGCTCTGTGGGGCTCACAGCCCAGGACAAGCAGCACACGCGAGGGAAAGGAGAGAGTGGCAGAAGGGAAAGGCAGGCATGGGCTGTGCTTGCAGAGAGCCCAGGCTGGCCACATCCTTTTGCAAAGGGTGCTGGGGTTCCCCAGCCCCTCTGAAAGCAAGAACCAAGTGCTCCATAGCCAGTCTGGTACCAGCCTGTGTGTCCCTGAGGGCCTTCCCTAGGGATGTCACCAGCAGCTTTAGCAGGGGAGGCACCTCCTGCCGCAGAGGCGGCTGCCCAAGCCGGAGAGGCCAAAGCCCCCGGAGGAGATGGGCACTCCCTCAGAGCTGAGGATGCTGCCAACAGCAGCGGAGGTGGAGGAGCCCACGGCGGTGCTCTGCGGGAAGGAGCTGAGGATGGGGCCGGGCAGGGTCACCACCACGGGGGAGGGCTGGATGACGACGGTGGAGTCCTGGCACTGCCTGACACAGGGCTCATTGCAGCTGTTGGCCAGCGGGGTCGGGCCGCAGGGCTGGCAGGGCAGGCAGGGCATGCACGGGATGTTGCAGGACATGTCTCGACAGTGGAGGTGGACCTGTTGTATGCAGGACGGCATAACAAAGCATGAGGGGTGGTTGGCGAGCAGCGTGGCACCCCTCCGCGAGGGATACCCTTCTCCTCACCTCAAAAGAGCCCAAGCAAGTGTGACCATGCCCAGGGAACTCCCCACCTAACCCATACCTCAGGAGACCCCTCAACCACGTCCCAACCTCTCTGCATGCCGCACCTTCTCTCTCCCTTGCTTCTCCCTTGACAAGCGGACTCAAGACCCAGCATCGGATAAAGAGACAGGCATGAGCTGAAAAACCCAGAGGAGAAAAAGGGGGAAGATGGGCAGGAAGGCAGGAAAGGACACCAAACTCACCTTGTTCCCAAGGAGATGGAGCTGAGAGGAGTGGATGAGAGAGTGAGGAGAAGGGCTCGCTTTTATCCTGCTCCGGCACCGCCCCAGGCCCACAGTCACTGCACGCGGGCAGTAATTTTCCAGTAGACTCACCTCCAAAGCAAAATATCCTCCCTAGTGGCACAGGCTGTGCTTTGCTTTCCGTCAACAGTGCCATTTCATTTCCTCATTTCTGACGTGACCACTAGGCCGCAGAGGCTCTTTTGAAGTATCAGGATGAGAGGCCCAAGCATTTCCTGAGCAGGACCATGTCAGTACAGGCAGAAGAGGTGTCCCCAAGTGCTGGAGCAGTCTGTGCAGACGGAGGACATGGCTGGTGTTTTTTCAAAACCCTGTGCAGGAAGGTTGGCCCGTCTTCACACCAGTGCAGTCCTCTCCTGGCTTCCCAAAGGCTCCTGTGACTGAGGACACGCCACATCCTTCTGCCTTCCTGCCTGCCTCTCTGCTCACTCCAGCTGGTGTGAGCACTGCCCCTAAGGGCAGATGGGCTGCGCTAGTGATTTCAAATGCCTTTCTTTGCTCAAGCACAGCTTCCCCTTCTGGGGAGACATGTGCTGATTTCTCTGGTAAATTTACCCCCTCTCGTGGCTGCCTCCAGGGGTCCCCAACCTACGCCATCAGCAGGCTTGCAGAGGGACAACAAAGTTGCCCTCCCGTAAACCCGAGATTGCTCAACAGGCCCTGTGAGGTTGGGTCCCTCCCTCCTCACTACCAGAGCAGTGTGTTGAGGCTCGGGAAAGCACCTTGTTCCCCTCTCTCTCTCTCTGCTCAAACCACCATGCACTTTGGTCACGTGCTTTGGACCCTGACCTGGAGACACAAAGGCCTGGCACCACGAGAGAGTGACGGCCAGCTGGGCATGGTGACACTTGTCATAATCCTTGGAGACCAGCAGTCAAGGGTCTGGATCACATGTCCTGTGAGGAGCGGCTGAGGGAACTGGGATTGTTTAGTCTGGAGAAGAGGAGGCTGAGGGGAGACCTCATCACCCTCTACAGCTCCCTGAAAGGAAGCTGCAGAGAGCCGGGTTGGAGACTCTTTAGCCTAGTACAAAGCGACAGGACAAGAGGGAGTGGCCTCAAGTTGCACCAGGGAAACTTCAGACTGGATATTAGGAAGCATTTCTTTCCAGAAGGGATTGTTGGGCGTTGGAATGGGCTGCCCAGGGAGGTGGTGGAGTCCCCATCCCTGGAGGGGTTCAAGAGTAGGGTCGATTCAGAGCTTAAGGATACACTGTAGGTGGGAACTGTGCTAGGCGAACGGTTGGACTAGATGATCTCCGGGGTCCTTTCCAACCTAGATGATTCTGTGATTTCAATCCCCTGCACTGCCCTCTTCCACCATCTGTATTTTCTCACTCGCTCCATATGGATTGTCACAGGAGACAGTGTCCAAAGCCTTGTTTAAATGAGATTCACCACATCTGCTGCCCTTCCCTCCTATACCAGAGCCAAGCAGGTCATCAGAGAAGGCCGGGAGGTTGGTCAGGCCTGCCTTGCCCTCTGTAAATCCCTGCTGACCACTCACAATGACCTTCTTGTCCTTTCGTCTTGGGAAGGGCTTCCAGGAAGATTTGCTCCATCACCTTTGCGGGGCTGGAGGTGAGACTGATTGGCCTGTTGTTCCCCGGCTCCTCCTTTGTGTCCTTCTTGAAGACAGGAGGCCCATTGGCCCATTGGCTTCCTTCCAGTCCTCAGATGCGTTCCCTGGCTGCTGTGAGGGGAGTTTCCAAGGGAGGTGAGAGTGGCCTTGTAGTGACAGCAAGCAACTGCCTTGGGTGCGTGGCATCAGGGTGCTTGCCCTCATCATGCCTGTGCAATCTCTTTGATTGCTCCCACACCTGATCCTCCTGTACTGCACGTAAGCCTTCCCTGGTCCAGATGTTCCGAGGAGAGTCAGGAGCCTCATGTCTTGACGGCAAATCCTGCCTCCCCTCCC